GGTGTATCCAAATTTATGAAAACAACTAATACTGTACACTTATTGATTACAGAAGCATTACCAGCTAAAACTATTATTTTTAGTGGTCTTCTCCAGATCACGGGTAGATTATTCAGTTATTGCAAGATAACAAAGCTAGTTCTATTGCATTATTTGGACAAAAAAAAAACAAAAAAATAAGTTCTTGAGATAACAGAAAGATTATGCTGCAAAACTGAGTGGTTCTTGTGTTACATCCAGTTTCATCATTCAGTTTGCTGTGGTGACACACGGTGATGATCTGCAGCAGTAATGAGCTAATCAGTGATGGATGTTCCTTGATGGTACAGGCTCAGCTTGAATCAGCTGACACCATGCCTGCATAGATTTCTGAAGTTCTACAGAATTTTGAGTACTTGAAATATCAAAATAATTTCTAGTTGGTCAAAACAATTCTATATGTAAAAAGTGATATCTCGATAAAACAACCTTTTTGTTTTGCAACGATGTCATGAAAATAAATTTCTTGTCCGGCAGGTCCAGTTTCACAGTGGTGAACTGCGGTTGATGTGTTACAGTATTTAAAAGTGAGAGACTGGTATTTCTAGCAAGAAAAACTGTAAATAAATACAACAACTAAGAATGCACTCTCAAAAATATTGAATTTACTTAACCACTTTTAAAGAAAATCTATAAACAGCTTTACATTTACTCAACTCGGTTTAGTGGAACCAGTAGACATACGTAACTTGGTTAAGTAAATTCAACACATCATTTTTTAGAGTGTGAACTGCAAGCATGTTGAGATCAGAGGAATGTTTTCCACTTCATTTGGGTTCCATTCATTTTTTTTTTTAATTTTGCCCCTAAATGACCCCTAGATTTTGGAACAATCCAAGAGTCATCTCCATGGTGGAGATTCATTTCCTTATTCTGCTGACGTGTAAATTTTACATATTTTTTTTACCTTCTAACTGTGGCTTCTCTAACACCACACCTGTGTTTTCAGATCATACTCTCGGGACCAAACTGTTCAATCACTGCAACAAGGCAAAAAAGCAAAGCCGATTTCGTGGTTTATTGTTATTTAACATACATATTGAACACCGATGCTGAAAACTGTATAAACTAAACTGTTCCAGCTAAAGGAAAGGAACAATCTATAAAACTGTTAATAATTTATTTCAAGTGCTGCTGTTTCTCTGAGACCCATCAGTCTGTGTTGGGCTAACTGCTCCTGCAGATTACATAGCAAGAGGCAACAGGGAGACACGCTGTCCTTTGCATGTGGTCAGCTGAGGCTTTTTTATGTTTCAGACTTCAATTTGTCATTTCTGTTCTAGGCATGATGAGGCAGAAGGGTAATGGAGCTGTTCTAATAGTACAGATAGTGCACTAACTCAGTGTTCCCAGGATACCAATTAGCAATGAACAACCAAGCATCAAGGGTCAAACATCTGATGGGTGAACACTTTGAGCGAGCAGATGAGAGAATGAAACGTGGAACTGTGTGTGATCATATATCAGGCTGCTTTCAATGGTGTGCATGTGTGCTGGTGTGCCATGTCACACTGACAAAACAGACTTTTTTTGCCTCCCTCCCTAAACTGGCATTGTACATTGTATAGATTCTAGTGAAACCAAATTACTGAAGTTTGAATTCAAACTCTAAAACAAACAAATTTGTATATAACTGCAGAAATGCATTAAAGGGATCCTTGATTAGCTGTAACATTAGACTTTATTTGATAAACATATGTTTTAACTGTAAAATAAAGACTGTAAAAATACTGTAGGC